GCTCAGCGGATTAAAGCATCTGCAAGCAGGCGCAGGGGCTGAGGGTTCAATCCCCAGGCCTGTCATGCTGGCCCTGCCCCCAGGGCACACTGAGACAGCAATTGAGACTGGTCATGGTGGCACATGCCTATAATCCCAACTCTTGGTAGGCTGTAAACAGGCCGATCACTACAAGTCTAATCTAGTAGTGAGACCCTGAACACCCTGTAGACACTTTCTAAAATAAAAATTAAAAAAAAGTTAAAGATCAAGGACAGGGGCCAGGGAGATGGCTCAGTAGAATAAGCGCTTGCCTGGCAAGCACAAAGGCCTGAATTCAATCCCTGGTTCTGGGGGGGAAAAAAAATCAAGGACAAAGTTATTTCTTTTTTTTTTTTTTTAATTTTATTTTTATTTATTTATTTATTTTTAAACATTTATTTATTGTGTGTGGGGGAGTGGCCAGCTCAGCCCACCAGGGGGCGCGGCTGGCTGGCATGTGGTGCTGGGGGATCGAACCGCGGTCCTTGTGCTTTGCTTAGCTTAGTTTGTTCCAAGTAGGTGCTTTAGACCACTGAGCCATCTCTCCAGCCCGACAAAGTTATTTCTTTAAAAATAACTGAAGGGACAAAATGAATAAATACAGCAGGCAAACTTGCCCTGAAAACAGCTACCTCCATGCTTCCTGGAGCAGTGGGAGCCAGCACAGAAGGCTGAGAACCGTTTCCTCTCTCAGGGGGAAGAGCTGCGTGGCTGGGCCTCTCTGGTGGCAGCACCCACCGGGTGTGACATGCTCTTCTCTGAAGCTTGCAGCCATCTTTTTTTTTTTTTTTTTTTTTTTGCAGGGTTTTTTTTTGCGCAGGGTCTCACTATGCAGCTCAGACTCATAGTAATCCCCCTGATTTCTGCCTCCCTAGTGTTGGGATTACAGGCATGTGCCAACACGCCCAGACTCCATCACCCAGCTCAGCATGCCTGGGGGTGGGGCTGGTGTGGCATGCAGTGCCAGGGATTGAACCCTGGCCCCTGCACTTACCTAAGCAGCCATCCATCCATCTTTGTTTTTGTTTTTGTTTGGAATTAGGGATCAAACTTGGGACCTTACACTTGCCAGGCAGGTGCTTATGCCACTGAGCTACCTCCCTGGCCCAGCTTCTGGCCTTCTGCACCAAGATCCTGCTGCTCTCTGCCAGCTGAGGCTGGTGTCCTCATCCTTCCTAAAGCCACTCGGTGTCTGCCAGTCCTCTGGAAGGAAGCAAATGCAGTTATGTGAGTGGGTGTATGGATCAGCAGAAAAAAAAGCAGGTGCTTTTAAATTGGACATTTTGATACAGGGAACCCTCCAAATGACACAGAGAAAACTGATCTCTCAACCTAAAAGGTACCTGGGACGAGTTTGTGTTCCCTAAAACCAAAGAATGAATTTTAGGAACAAACAGAGGTTATGAGCAGAATACATTTATTGAGGGAAAGAAAGCTGCTGTCCAAGAGAGGGACAGGAGAGGAGCCTGAGCGGGTTGTCCCCAGGAAGCTGTCTCTTCCAGGGACTTTTATAGAGTAAAACCATGCAGTGAGGCGGGTCTAAGGGAGTGGAGAAGACATGGGAACTCACTAGGTGGGCATGAGGGGGGATAAATCGATGGTCAACCAATGAGATTACAAACACCATTGCTCAGGTAAAATTGATTAAATCCAGTATCAAATGGGGAAGTGAGTCATATAGCATGGGGCATGAATAGGGGATAGGGTCTCTTCCTAGTGGGGGTTGGGCTAGTGACTCTTTTGGGCTCTTTCAAGGTGACTGATACCTATTTATAATATGGATCCCTGATGCCCATCCCTAGGGAAGCATGTAGCTGTGTTTCCTCTTTTGCCTTGCTCTTGAGGTGTGGTCCACATGGGAGTGTCTGTCTCTTCCAAGTCGTAAAGTCACCTTGTCTTCCATCTTGTCTCCTTGAGGGCCTGGCCCTATAATATTACTATTTCTATCTAATTCAGCTGCCTGCAACAATTTCAACCTCAGCACTAGGGACATTTGGATCAAAACTATTATGGCTAAAGGGATTCTTCAGATATAGATATAGATATAGATATAGATATAAATATATATTTTTTTAATTTTTTTTTTTTTTAGACAAGGTCTTGCCATACAGTATGGGCTGGCCTCAAACTCACAGTGATCTTCCTGCCTTGGCTGCCAAGTGCTGGGATGACCCCATCATGCCAGGCAAGCACAGAGATTTTTGGATGCCAGCATAAGTCCACAACTGATCTCTGTTGTTGGCTGATCTCTAAAAAAGTTTCTGGATCTAGTTAAAAGCAACTTACAAATCACCAGATATGCCAGCATACCCAGCCATCTGCAATGCTGAGGCAGAAGGGTTGCAATTTTGTCAATTTAGCAGGAGTCTGTTTCAATATAAAAGGCTGGAAATATAGCTCGGTGTGATGGTCCTGAGATCATTCCCAAGTATCACACACACACACACACACACACACACCCTCAGAGGTGTCTTACAATTCTAAAAGCTGCCATTTTCTATTTTTCTTTCCTCTCTTTTCTGTATGTGCCGGGCTCGGTGGGCATACTGTCCCATCCTAGCAAGCATAGGAAGCTACTGCTATGCTCTCTTGTCTGTGTTCCGGTGAAAAGTGTCCTTTGCTTAGAGTCACTTAGTCATTAATGGCAGAAGCAGCACATACAGTAGGTTCCTGGATGCAAAGCCTTTCAGTGTCCCCCGCCCAAGGCTGACAAAAAAGAACCCGTTAGCTGCCACTGCAGTACAGTTATCCTGGGGATTTAGATCAGTGGCGAGTGTGAGGGCCTGAATTCAATTCCCAGCGCCCCGCCCTCCCCCCCCCAAAGGTGCAGTGGTACTGCTGTCCGAATCTCCTGGCTAGAACAAATGTTCTCTCGTGTGCAGCACGCCTTTACTGCCCATAGTGGCCCCTGCGAGAGAAGCAGTGGTGCTATTCTTGGATGCAGATAACAGCAAAAGCAGAGGCACAGGACAAATGGATTGAAACACAAAGCCGATCCAAAGCAAGGCTTCCAGCAGCGTTCCCTTTCCACCGGCCTGATCACAAGGGTCGTTTGAGGGCCCGCCAAATAGCTCAGCAGATTAACACGCTGCTTAGGCAGACACAGAGGCCGGCACCCAGGCCTGCCTTGCTGGCACTGCCCCCGGGGCACAGAGACAGCGATTGAGACTGGGCGTGGTAGCGATGCACCTGTAATCCCAGCGCTTGGGAGGCTGTACAACAGGAGGATTACTAGAGTCTGACCTACGTAGTAAGACCCCGTAGACCCTGTACTAAATACAAACAAAAAACAAGTGCTGTTTGATGGCTAACCTGAGTTCAGGTTGGAGGCAGGGACCAGGGTTTTCCCAGGATTTCTTCCACAGCCTACAGCCTGCTTCCCATGGAAGTTCCCGTAGTGCAGTGTCTGCTGAGCACCTAAAGGGTACCCGGCTCTGGAATTCCATCTGTGACCAAAGCTGTGCGGTTCCTGGAGAGGGGACAGGTCAGACAGTGCTGGAGGTACAGGGAGACAGGCAGGAAGTCGGGAGGAGGCTGGGTGAGAAGGTACACACTTGTCATCCAAGGGTGATGTAACTGTTAGGGGTTGCTCAGAATAGGAACCAGAACAGAAGCCAGATTGGAATTTAAAAGAGCCATTTGTTACTGAGCTCAGGGCCACCAGTCATTTCTCATGCAGGAGAAGACTAACGGCACCTAGGCCCGCGAAGCAAGCTTTTAAAACGAAAGTTACATGACTAAGGTGTCTCACAGTTCAGTGACATGCACAGCTTGCCCGTGTGGGCGGTTGTTGAGCAAGCCTTTTTTTTTCCAGAACTGGGGATTGAACTCAGGACCCTGCACTTGCCAGGAAAACACTTATTCTACTGCACCATCTCAACCGCCCCTATAAGATACATCTTAAACTATGTTTACAGTAATTAGATTAGGGAGGGGAGGGAGACAGTTACTCAGTTACTCCTTACTAAACAGCAGGCATAAGGGAACATATTGTTTTCCATAGTTACAGCTCAAAATTCAGTTGACTCGTTGCATGACGAGGCAGAAGGCTTTTGGGAGGCTGAAGCAGGAGAACTCTAACTTCAAGCCCAGCCTAGACAAGTTAGCGATTTAGCAAGACCCTGTTTTAGGGGCTGGGGAGATGACTCAGTGGAATAAGCGCTTCACTGGCAAGCGCAAGGGCCTGAGTTGAATCCCGGGTTCCAAGAAAAAAAAAAAAAAAAAAAAAAAAGACCTTGTCTCGAAGGGCCAAACAGCTCTGCGCATTGAAGCGCCTGCCATGCCGCCCGGCCCCCGGGCGCGCTAAAATGAGACTGGCCGTGGTGGCGGCGCACACCTGTAATCCCAGCTCTTGGGAGGCTGAAAACAGGTTGATCACTACGAGTCCGGTCTAGTAGTGAGACCCTGAACACCCAGTAGACCCTTCCCTAAAACACAAAACAAACAAACAAAAGACCCTGTCTCAAAAACTAAAAGGAAGTGGGGGGCGCCGTAGCTCAGTACACTGTAACAAAAAAAAGAAAGAAAAGAAGCCAGTGAAGTTAGAGTGGTGCCAGGAGGCGTTTCTGATAACATTAACTGAATGAATGAATAAATGAATGACCGCGAGAGAGCAAGCTTGACCGGATGTCAGAATGAGCCACTGTTCCTCCGCCAGCAGACAGACTCAGGTCTCCGTGCGTGCGCAATATCCGTCGAACTTAGATTAAGTCCACAGGGCAAGGGCAAGCAAGAGGCGGAGCTTAAGGAAGGAGCTTCTCAACTTTCCCTTCCTCTGACCTTGCCTTTGTAGTCAGGGTCACACAGACTCCCCCTCGGCCACGCCCATGTCTCTTTCCGACACTTCGGGAGGTGCATGCGCAGCAGGCCCGCAAACGCTAAAGCCAGGCGCACCAAGCCCCGCCCCCCGTGGCGCCCGCTCGCGAGAACCTACCGTTTCTCAGGGCGGGGCTGTGGGAGGAGCCTGTTCGGGGCGGAGCGTGCGTGTGCGTGCGTGCGTGCGTGCGCCCGCGTTGCGGGCGGGCCAGTGAAGCCGGCGGTCCCGGCACGTGATCCGGGACTGGCGGTGTCGCTTGGTGGCTCGGTGTGTCTGTGCGTCCGCGGGTGCCATCATGGCGGACGCGGCTAGTCAGGTGCTCCTGGGCTCCGGTCTCACCATCCTTTCCCAGCCGCTCATGTACGTGAAAGTGCTCATCCAGGTATGAGTCGTCGCTGTCCCCTGCTCGCCGGCGCCCCGCGGTGTCGTCCTGCCCGCTGCGCCCGGGGTCAGGGCGGCTCCTTCTGTGCGCCCTGTCCTGCGGCCGGGACAGCGCCCACCGGCCCGCCGCCCTGCGTCCGTGCCCCGCCGGGCCGCGCCCTGTTCCGGCCAACTGCCACCGCGCTGCCCGCGGCGCCGAATCCGCGCTTCCGCCCGAAGGGTGCCCGCCCGGCGCCCAGGGTCCCGGCGCCGTCCTGCGCCCCTCGGCGGGGACATCCGCGCCCGGCCACCCGCGCGGGACGCCACACGCTCAGGGGCAGCCAAATCGAAATGTCAAGAGAGCCAGCCTTTTATTATTTCTTACTCGCTTTCCTGCTCTCTTTTCATCTGTTTATTTTCTGACTGTCACTACTGCTGTTGTGTTCAGAGATTTTAACACCAGATACTCAGATAAACACAAGGAGCCCATTCAGAAGTGATCAGAAAGTCAGGTTTCAGAAGGATCCATTGAGCGCGCCCTGGCAGCAGGAGTCTGGTTTATGGCAACGAAAATCACGTTTGTCCTGCTGGAAATCAGTTCAGTGCCGAGTTTTGGGAGTTTAAACAGAAGCCTTGAGCTCCCTAATATCTAGCCTATGCCCCTCCTTGGCTTATTTTCCAATCTACTGTGAAATATTACATGTTCACAGGCAGATAGACCCTGCATTTTTAGGTCATATTTTCAGTTGGTTTTCTAGACTTTTTCTATGAGAGCTAGTCATTAAAAAAAATGTTTTCTAACCTTTGTTGAGGGTTGGCATCAGTACCTCATTCATTTTATCAAGGAAGCAAGCAATGTCTTTACTTTCTGTAGCAAACATGTGGACACTGGGGAGGACCTTATTCCTGAGGTGTTACTGACAGTACTTGTTGGTGTTGACCTGAGTACATTCAGCTTCTGTGTGTAGAAGCTTCTTGGGACCGGGGAGATGGCTCAGTGGAATAAGCGCTTCCCTGGCAAGCCTAAGGGCCTGAGTTCAATCCCCGGTTCCGCAAAAAAAAAAAAAGAAGCTTCTTGTGACACAGGTTATTTGGACCTAAAGAAGTGACTTTGTGCTGTACTGTGATGCTTAAGGCAGAAGATTGAATCCCAGCACTTAGGAGGATTGCTGCAAATTCGAGGCCAGCCTGGATTACAATGTGAGCTCAAGGCCAGCCTGAACTGCTTAGTGAGACCCTGTCTCAAAAAGACCAAAAGAAAAAAAAAAAGGCAAAACAGGATTGGCACATTTGGGGCTAGATGGCATCTGAGGTGACATTTTGCAGCAAATTCTGTATGAACCCATTACTCAATAATTCCCCAGGAGAGAGTGGTAAGTGACATTCCCAGCTCTTACCTCAAAAGCTTGAATACCCTTCATTTTGATTTCACAACATTTGGGTGCTGTCAAATGTGGGGGTTTTGGTGAAGTTCCCAAATACCCAGCTTTAAAAATAGTTCCATGGTAGCAGATGAAAGTTATTTAATAGAATGGATGAGGAGATCACGGGCATGCAGAGTCAAGACTGTGTCCAGTGGCGTGGGTCCTTCAGCATCCTAGTACATGAGAAATCCTGTACACGCTGCACAAATATATATTGATTTTACAAGATGGCTTTTATTAGATTGTTCACGATGCTCAGGTCATTTACGGGAACCTAGCTTGTGATCATTTCTGAAGTGAATTTCCCAGCTGCATCTACATTTGGTCCTTGAATGTGTTTGTTGAACCAATTGATGCTTTCGAGGTGGGCGTCTTGTTTTATTCAAAGATTAAAAATCCCCTAGAGGGCCGGGGAGATGGCTCAGTGGAATAAGCGCTTCCCTGGCAAGCGCAAGGGCTGGAGTTCAATCCCTGGTTCTGCAAAAAAAAAAAAAAAAAAAAAAAAAATCCCTTAGATTTTTTTGTGGCAGAACAGGGGCTTGAACTCAGGCCCTTGCGCTTGCCAGGGAAGCACTTGTTCCACTGAGCCATCTCCCCTAGATTTTCTTTTGGAAATAATTTTTGAGCTTCCCCAGTAAAATGTTTCTAACAAAAGTTTCCTTATGCTATTTTCAGTTATAAAGAAAATATTAGCCTACTTCATGGACTTTGGACTGGAGTTTATTGAATCCAGACTTAATCAGTTTGACAGAACAGAAACCAAACAGGATGGTCCTTTAATCCTTTGTGGGAAGACATAAATTGCATTTTTATTTGTGCTGTTTAAGGCCTGCCACCAAGGCATTTGTAGGAATACTCTTGTTGTTAAGGTTTTCCTTTGTTTTTAAAGGTGGGATATGAGCCTCTTCCTCCAACCATAGGACGGAATATCTTTGGGCGGCAAGTGTGTCAGCTTCCGGGTCTCTTCAGTTACGGTGAGTGTCTTGCATTCATTTGGAACCAGAGGATATTGAGGATAGGCAGGCAGGAGCTACTGGAGAGATGAGACTGCCTTGACGTTCACACAACCACCCTCTGCCTGGAACTGAAACCTTTCATTGCGCTCCTAGCTCATCACATTGCCAGCATCGATGGGCGGCGGGGGTTGTTCACCGGCTTAACTCCAAGACTGTGTTCAGGAGTCCTTGGAACTGTGGTCCATGGTAAAGTTTTGCAGGTAAGAGGAGAAGTGTTTTGTGTTCCCTTGGATTCTGGCCACCCTTTATGTTCAGTTCATTCTATTGGTTAAGAGCAGTTTTTGGAAAAGAAGTTTCACTGGATAGTGCTGTCATTGCACTATATCGTCCAGGTGGACCTCAAACTCACAGTGACCCTCCAGCCTCAGCCTCACCAGTACTGAGACTACAGATGCACACTTATCTAGTGTGATTTTCAAAAAATATATATTTGGTACAGGGTCTCATTAAGCAGCTTGGACTCGTAGTGAGACTCCTGTTTTTAGCCTCCCCATCACTAGGATTACAGGCATGTGCCACCGTGCCTGGTCTCAGTGACTGGCACAGCATATGGTGCTGGGGATCGAACCCCAGTCCCTGCACTTGCCTAAGCAGGTGCTTAGTCTGCTGAGCTATCTCACTGGCCCTTCTAATGTGATGTGGGTTTTTTTGTGTGTGGGACCTGTGATTGAACTCAGGACCCTGCACTTGCCAGGCCAGCACTTATTCTACGGAGCTATCTCCCCAGCCCTCCTAATGTGATGTTAATGACACATTTTCTATTAAAAACTAGTTTTGGGGGGCTGGTGAGATGGCTCAGTGGTCTAAAGCACCTACTTAGAACAAGCTAAGCTCAAGCAAAGCAGCACAGAGACCTCGGTTCAATCCCCCAGCACCACATGCCGGCCTGCCCGCCCCCTGGTGGGCTGAGCTAGCCACACAATAAATAAATAAATAAATATTAAAAAAAAACCTAAGTTTTGGGGGACTGGGGAGATAGCTCAGTGGCATAAGTGCTTGTAGGTCCTGAGTTTGATCCCTGGTACAAAACAAACAAACACACTTTTTTTCTTTAAGAATTTTAAGGGTCGGGGGGCCGGGGAGATGGCTCAGTGGAATAAGTGCTTCCCTGGCAAGCACGAGGACCTGAGTTCAATCTCCGGTTCAAAAAAAAAAAGAGTTTTTAGGGTCGGGAAGATAGCTTGATGGGCTGAGTGCCTGCCTGGCAAACACAGGGACCTGGGTTCGATTCTTGGTACTGCATGCTGTGCTGGTTCACCAGCCAAACACGGACCCGGTATGGTGGTGCACGCCTGTAATCCCAGCACTAGGGAGGCTGACACAGGAGGATCACTATGAGTCCAAGCTGCATAGTGAGACCCCATACCAAATTTAAAACATTTTAAATAACATGCTGTGCAGGTGCATAACTTTAATCTAGCACTCTTGGAGGCTGAGGCAGAAGGATTGGAGCCCAGCCTAGACAACCTACCTACTCTGCAAGACCCTGTCTCAAAAAATTTTAAGAAGAACTGTTATGGGGGTTTTTGTTTTTTGGTTTTTGGCAGAACTGGGGATTGAACTCAGGCCTTTGTGCTTGCCAGGCAAGCATTTATTCTACTGAGCCATCTCCCCAGCCCTGAGCTGGGGTTGTATCTCTGTGTGGGTTCAGTATCTAATCTTCTTTTTTTTTTTTTTAATTTTAGTACAAGGGGGGCCAGAGAGATGGCTCAGTAGAATAAGCGCTTCCCTGGCAAGCGTAAGAGCCTGAGTTTAATCCCTGGTTCTGCCCAAATAATATAATAATAATAATAATAATAATAATAATAATAATAATTTTAGTACAAGGTCTACAAGATGTACAGGGTCTCGTTATGTAGATCGGACTTGCAGTGATCCGCCTGTTTACAGCCTCCTGAGTGCTGGGATTCCAGGCACGTGCCCCTAGGTCCAGTCTCAGTGGCCTCAGCAAGCCCCAGGGTCATTGGCATGGCCAGCACAGCACGCTGGGGGTCAAACCCTGGCCACTGCCCTGTGCCTGAGCAGGGGCTTTGTCTCCTGACCTATCTGGCTGGCCCTAGTCTCCCCCTTAAAGTGTCCAGGCCAGGAGCAGTGATCTATGGAGAGGAGAGGGCCAAGGGCGCAGGCGCGGCAGGCCTCCTCCTGGCCTGTGCAGGTCGTTGCCTATTGATTATTTGTGATGCTGTACAGTCGTGTTCTGGGTGCTGTGTTGTGTGTGGGGTAAGGTGAAGGCCGGTCACGCTGCAACCCGTGCAGAAGGGGGAGGACGAGGGCAGGCTTGGTGTGTCTGTGGCTGTGAGGTGGAAAGCAGAGACCTTAATCCAGTGTCCTAGCAGCCCTCCCACTGGCAGGGTGTGAGCCTTGGTGGTAGGGGTATAGGTGAGCTTTTTTTTTTTTCTTGGATATGTGTCAGATATTTGGTAATCTTTTGTTTTCTTCTGGTCCTGGTGTGTTAGGATGGGCTTTGCCTCTGAGCTGCACCTCCATCCCATAAACTGTTGTATAAAACACCAATGCTGGCTGAGTCCCCACCCTCAGCTTCTAGTCCTGCCCCTGCTGGCTAAGGCAGAGCATCTGCTTTGGCCCAGCCAGTGGTAGACCTTAGGTCCTAGTGCTAGTAGGCCAAGCCCTGTGCCTGAGGCATACTGTGTGCATGTGCGTGTGTGTGTACGCGCGCACGCATGCGTGCACACGTGCACACAAACTCACATCAGGACCCCCCATGGGCTGTTGAAGTGGTGACCTAGAATCCCAGCTCTGTGCTACACCTAAGCCCCTGTCACTGCTGTAGCGCCAAGGCTGCCTGGGATGTCCTATCCATGCTGAGCTGGGTCAGGTCCCTGTGTAGACAGGAGTGGTGGGCTTGGTGCTCTCCCGATGGAGCTTGAAGGACAGGCAGGTGTGAGTGACAGCCAAAACCACTTTGCTTCTCTGCCCACTCAAGGGCACACGTCTTGCCGCAGACAAAGCCAGTGGGAGGGCCTAGGTGGTGGTGCCCCTGAGTCTCCTGTGCTGTGGAAAGGCCTGGGAGGGGTCACAAGGGATGGACAGGGCGGGGAGAGAAGCCCAGTGAGGGACGGAGGCTGGAAAGGCACAGGTAGCCTGCAGGAGGCCATGACCTGTGTGGATGTGCCTGGCGTTGGGTGGCAGGACCTAGTGTCAGACTTCATGGCTTCCTTTAAGGCCTTCCTCCAAAGCCACCATGCCACCCTTGGCCAAGAGTCTGGATGTGGCAGAGGCCAACACCGATCAAACATGGATTGCCCCTGTAGAGGATGCACATGACAACATCGCACAGGAGCTCCTGGCTTGCGAGGGCTCTTTGGGTTTTGCTGGGCTCCTTGTACTTTGCTGGTGAAGCTGGTGCCGCTCTGATTGTTCTGCTTTCTCAGTTGTGCTTCAGTATAAGTCAGGATGAATTGACCTGTAAAGCATGTTTAGAAAATGGGTCTGCAGACAGAATTGTCCTTTGCTATGTTTATAAGTGTGTTACACAGCCAGAAAGAACCCCGGGATCCAAGAGGCTGATGCAGGAGGAGCACTGTGAGTTCAAGGCCAGCCTGGGCTATATAGTGACACTGTCTCAAAAAAAAGTCTAGAAATGAGTGAAATTTTTCAAAAAGGTCTCGAACTATTAGAATTAATGGTCGCCACAGATCTGGAATATAGCCAAAGTGCAGCACTTTGCTGAATCTTAACATTTCTCTTGCCTGGAATTGTGTACCTGTTGGGGGAGGACCTGGAGCCTCTTGCATGCTACCCAGGTGTTGCACCCCTGAGCTATAGCCCTGTCCCTTGTCTATGCTTTTTAAAATAGTAATTGTGTTTACAGAAGCAGCATTGTAGCCAGACATGGTGGCACACCCCTGTAGTTCCAGCACTGGGGAGACTAAGGCAGGAGGACTGTGAGTTGAAGGCCAGCACGCACCACATAGGGAGATCCTGTCTTCAAAACAAAACTAGAGGTTGGGGAAATAGCTCAGTAGAATAAGCGCTTGTCTGGCAAGCGCAGGATCCTGAGTTCAATCCCTGGTTCCACCAAAAAAAAAAAAAAAAACTATAACAAGAACAACAAAATGTCTTTTTTTCAACTAGTATAACTAGAAAGTAATAAGAAAAATTGTTGGGGCTGGGGAGATGGCTCAGTGGAATAAGCGCTTCTCTGGCAAGCGCAAGGGCCTGAGTTCAATCCCCTGTTCCGCCAAAAAAAAAAAAAGAATTGTCAGGTGTGGTGACACATGCCTGTAATCCCAGCACTGGGGAGGTTCAGGCAGGAGGACTGCAGGCTCAAGACTGTCCTGGGTACAAAGTGAGTTCAAGGCCAGCCTGAACTGCATAGCAAGACCCTGTCTCAAAAAAGAAGAAGAAAAATGGTCTTTGGCTGGCTTTCTCTGTGACCATGGTGATCAAGGCAGAGGCCGTGCAATAAGCTACATTCCCAGCCCCTTTCTTTCTGTGTAAGCGGCCCAGGTAGGGCCCAAGTTTGCAGTCCCCTTGCCCTAGCCTCACAGCACACAGAGCTTGCAGGCCTGTGCCTCCAGCCCCACCTTCCTCTGTTGTTTTTTTTTTTTTTATTTTTTGTCGGAACCAGGGATTGAACTTAGGCTCTTGTGCTTGCCAGGGAAGCACTTATTCCACTGAGCCATCTCCCCGGCCCCATTCCTCTGTTTTAATAAAGAATTTTCTGAGCACCAGTTTGTTCCTCCAGCTGACCACCAATATGTTAAACTTTGCAACAAGATCATCTTGGAGACAGTTTTTTTTCCAGTTGATTAATTGGCAGTAGAAACTAATTGAAGATTGGCAGAGAGAAAAAAAAAAAGCAGGGACTCAGGAGATGGCTCAGTAGAATAATCGCTTGCCTGGCAAACACAAGGGCCTGAATTCAATCCCAGTTCCACCAAAAAAAAAAAAAAAAGCAAAAGTGACTGCTGTTCCATTTCCTGTCAGTAGTGTTGTCATCTTGTCTTCTGTCACATGACACATGAATGGCCCTAATCCCCTTTCTCTTGTTTCCTCCATAGCATTACCAGGATGGTGACAAGCCTGAGGTATGTTGAGGCCGAGTGCCACGCATGGCCCCTCTTGCTGCAGTTAGGGCTGGGCCTCTAGGAGAGATCTGCAGCCTCGTGTTCCACCACAGCCAGCGCCAGCCAGCGGCAGGGCGAGCAACTGGGGCACATATGTGAAAAAATGGTCAGCATCCCTGGGCATTCGAGAGATGCAAATTAAAACAACACTGAGATCCCATCTCACCCCAGAAAGAGTGGCTATCATCAAGAATCAACCAGCAACAAATGCTGGCAGGCTGTGGGGATAAAGTTGCCCTTCTCCGCTGTTAGAGGGCAGACTGGTGTAACCACTGTGGAAATCAGTTTGGAGAGTCCTCCAAAGCTAGGATCGGCATCCCGTTTCACCCAGCTGTTCCCGTTCTGGGAACCATCCCGAGAAGATGGAAAGCGTCACGCCACAGTGATGTATGCACACCCATGTTTGTAGCGGCAGCTTATAAATAGCCACTTCTTGGACACAGCCCAAATGCCTTCAGCTGATGCCTGGGTAAAGAAGATGTGTTTTTTTAATACAGTGCAGTACTAGTCTGCCATGAAGGATAAACTTGAGTCATTTCTTGGTAAATGGATGTACCTTCAGACCACACTCTGATAATTTGGACACATATAAATACTACATGATTTCTCTGGTGTGACAAACCGAAAGTGTAAATATGGACCAAAATGTATAATATTGTGAAACAGGAAAAAAATTTTCAAATGGGAAGAGAACCCTAGGGAGGGGGAAGAATAAGGAAAAAAGAATAGAGAAGAAAAGAAAGAAAAAATAGAAACAAAGCTTTTGTAAACAAGAAAGGGAAGCCGGGTTTAAGGGAGGGATAAGAATGGAAAAGAATCAAATTACACTCCTGTACAGAAATGATAAGTAAATAAAAACTAAAACTGACAGCTGGGGGTGCTGCTGAGTGCTTAAGACCCCAGCGCTGGGGAGGCCGAGGCTGGAGATGACAAGTTAAGGGCAAGCCCGGGCATTTTTTTCTTTTTAATTTTGCATTAGTACACCTTGCCATGCCTAGTGACTGCATCTGCTGTGGTGTGGTCCCTGTGCGTGACACGTCTTTGTTCTTCTTGTCCCTACCCCTGCCTGCCCTGACTCCGCTGCTCATGATCCCCTTCCTATTCCCAAAGCTCTTATTTTTTTGTCACTGTGTAGTTCAGGCTGGCCTTGAGCTCACTTTGTAGCTTACACTGGTCTCGAACTCACAACGATCATCCTGCCTCAGCCTCCCGAGTGTTGTCTGTCCTCTTGTAAAATTCCTTTTCCCCTCCTACATGTCACATTCCATATCTTTTCATTATTTATTTATGTAGTACAGTGTCTCACTACACAGATCAGGCTCGTAGTGATCATCCTGTTTTCAGCCTCCCAAGCACTGGGATTACAGGTGCCTGTCACCACCACCATGCCAGTCTCAGTTGCCATCTCAGCGTGCCCCAGGGCGGGGCTGGCACAGCACACCAGGGACCGTTCCATCTCTTACTCCCCTTCCCATTTGAAACAGATCTTTATACTTTGATTTGTCTTTTATTTTGCTCTCTACTTATATTTTGGATTTCTCCTTTGAGAAACCATGCAGCCAGGGCCGTGACGCACACCTGTCAGCCCTCGGGAGGCTGAGCTGCAAGCTGGAGGGCAGCTTGGGCTACAGACTGTCTCAGGAAAAAAACTGCCATGTTTCAGCGTGTGTGTCTGATTTATTTCACTTAACATTCTGGTCACAAGGTACATCCATTTTTGTACAAATGACTCAAATTTATCCTTTATGAAAGAGTAGTACTCCATTGTATATAAGCGCCACATGTTTTTTTTTTTTCAAGCTTGAATAATAAGGATCCCCTTTTTTTTTCTGTGAATTTTTAATAAAGAGAAAATGTATCACATAACATCCCCTTAGATAATAATGCAGTTTGTTTATTGCAAGGCCAAAACGAAACTTTTTAGAAACGAGACACGGTAGCATAGCTATACTGACATTGCTGTTGTTCCAGACCCTTTGTTGCTATTACAACAATCCAACAACGTTAGCAACAAAAGCGTCTCCTGAGTTAATGTCAGGCAGTTCCTCCCCTCTGTCCATCTGTGGTTCCTTCCAAGATTTAACTCGAGGTGCTAGAAATGGGTATGCATTTACCACAGCAATATGGCACCTTGAACTCAGGATGATTCCTAGAAGGGTATAGCTGGGTCATACAGAATTCCTAGTTCTGCAGGGTTTTTGGTTTATTTGGTTTGGTTTTTTGAGACAGGTTGGTAGTTCAGCCTGGCCTTGAACTTGCTAGCAAAAATCTGGCCTCAAAAACTAAAAAGAACCTGGCCTCAAGCTTAGTGCTCTTCCGGCCTCACCCTCCTAAGTACTGGCGTTAGAGCGTGTGCCGCCACGGCCCGGTAGTTTGAGTGTTGTGCGGAGCCTCCATGTTGGTCTCCACAGTGGCTGCACTAGTTGGTACTTCCCCAGCAGCATAGCAGTTCCTTTTCCCCCATTCTTTTCCCTTCACCAGCATTTGGTATGATTAAGTTTCCCAATGAGGCCTGGTCTGTGGAGTGGGATGGAATCTCAGTGTTGCTGTAATTTGTTCTCCAATGGGCAGCAGTGTTGAAAGACACATTTGTGTGTGTGTGCTTGTCGGCCATCTGTATTTCCGAGAAGTATCTGTTCTTTGGTTGCCCATGTTTTGATTGGCTCTTTCATGCGGGAGGTATCTCATTCTTTTGTTTCTTCTCTGATTTCAATTTCCAGGAGTCGGGACCTGGAAGTGTACAAAAAGAAGGCTCGCCTTCCTTTGACCAAGTTATCAAAGAGGTGGGCCACACACTATCTCCCTTGCTCTTTGCCTGAGCTCTGTGGCCCCTATGAGATCAGGGTTGACAGGCGGCACTTCTCTGCCTGTTCCATGTGAAAGTGAGCCTGTAAATTATTTTGGGCTTTCCAGGGGAGGGGTATGTGTGTGTATCAACTCCCTACAACAAATGTGTACATAGTGTATTGCCAGTGCATACTAAACAATAGCCTTAACGACAGCAACAACAAATCACTTAATTCCCTGGGCTCAGGCACGGTCACGGCGGGCATCTCTGCTCTTTCCCTGGCAGACTTCCGTTTGAGGTGGGGTATGGCAGTTCCCCCAGCACAAGCTGTGCTGCAATGATCCCAGGACAATTTTTGAACTTCAGTCTGTTGACATTAATGGACTGCACCTGTGGGAACTGGGCCTAGACCTGGGATGGGGGACAGTGAGAAGGGACCCAGTGCTCTGTGTGTGTGTGTGTGTGTGTGTGTGTGTGCGCGCGCGCACGCGCACGCGTGCGCGCACGTGTGAGCGCATCAATCCCCCACGGCATGTCAGTTTTCACAAACCTACACTTAAGAAAATTGTTCAGTTTTTTTGTCGTTTTTTTGAGACAGGCTCTCTGCGTAATTCAGGTTGGCCTCGAACTTGGAACGATCCTCCTGCTTCAGTCCCAGCACTGGGGTGACAGGTGTGATCCCCCATGCCTGAAAGTCTGGGGGATTTAGTGAGATCCTGTCTCAAAATAAAAGATGGGCTTAGTGAGATAACATAGGCCCAGTGCTAGGTGCTGACCTCAGTCCTCAACAGAAAAGGAGCTGGCAGGCACTGGGTAGGAGGCACTTGGTGGCTGCTCTGCTGCAGCTCCACCCCTGCCCCAGAGTCCCACCTCAGCCCAGGATCTACCTCTTGAGCTGCGGGACTGCCCACTCCTGTGGGCTCTGGGAGGAGGCTGTCTAGGGTGGGCGGGGCAGCTGCTCCCAAACTGCTCCAAGGATGGTTGGCTGTGCACCCTGGGGGCCAGGCCACTGCGTTTCCCAGCTTTGTTCACCTGTGTGGACTTGACAAAAGCCTGCTTTGAGAGAGCCCCTGAATGGTGACCAACTCAGGGTCTGTGGCCGAGTGTCAGCGGACCCCAAGCAGCTGGTCTTGGCTCAGGGCACTGAAGTGAGGCCACCCTCTTCATCACTGCATGAAGTGTTGTTTATCCACTGTTTCTAGACAACCCGAGAGATGGTCGCTCGCTCTGCTGCTACCCTCATCACGCACCCCTTCCATGGTATGTGTGCCCACGGAGCCTGGAGCCTGCTCCGGCACCTTGTCTCTCTTGGCCGCCCCCGTTGACAGGCAGGCCCGGGAGCCAATGAAGTGCTGCTTTTTGCTGGTGTTGGAGATGGAACCCAGGGCCTTTCCACTAAGCTGTATCCCCAGGCCTTGTTTAAACTTAGAGGCAGAGTCTGCATGTGAGGCTCAAGCTGGAGATCCTCCTGCGTACTGGGACTGCAGGGGTGCACCACCATGCCCAGCACAGAATGTCCTTAGGTGGGACCCTTTTTTTTTTTTTTTTTTTAATGAGGCTGTCTTTGCCATCTTTGTTCTATACGTCTTCTCTGTGTCCTGCAGTCATCACTCTGAGATCGATGGTACAGTTCATAGGAAGAGAATCCAAGTACTGGTGAGTGAAACCGCCGTGCCCTCCGTTTGGATGGTTCCTGGCACTTCCAGAATAGCTCTGCAAGTGTTGAGCTTTGCTCTACACTTAGAGCAGGAGGGGAGCAGGCTGAAGCGTCTCCAGCCCCCGAGCTGGGGGGATCAGCCAGGCCACAGGCGGGAGGTGGAGCTCAAGCCCTGGCCACTCCCCCTCAACAGTGGTGAGTCCCTTCGCAGAGCCAGAGTGTGAGCTCAGTGTGCGCCCTGCCCCACCCCTACCTCCCCATGTCTACAGCGGGCTCTGCGACTCCATAGTGACCATCTACCGAGAAGAGGGCATCCTGGGATTCTTCGCGTGAGTAATGGTCCTCTGTGTGTGGCTTTTGTGTGAGTGGAGCAGCTTTCCTGAAGATAAGGGCAGGTGGTATTGATTTAATCCTGGGAAAAATGTATTTCTGGGTTTACTTTATGTTAAGCTCCTTTTAGCTCCCTTCTGGCTTAAATTCTCTACTGTAAAAATCCCAGACCTTTAGCCAGGCGTGGTGGTACATGCCTGTTGTCCCAGCCACTCGGAAGGCTAAGACAGGAGGATTGCTTAGGTAACTTAGACCCTGTCTCAAAATTTTGTTTTTTTTTTTTTTTTTTTTTTTTCAGTACTGGGGATCGAACCAGGGACCTTGTGCTTGCCAAAAAGGCACTTATGGGGGCTGGAGAGATGGCTCAGTGGTCTAAAGCACCTACTTGAAACAAGCTTGGCAAAGCATAGGGACCGCGGTTCAATCCCCAGCACCACATGCCAGCCAGACCCGCCCCCCTGGTGGGCTGAGCTGGCCACACACACAATAAATAAATGTAATAAATAAAAATAAATATTAAAACAATACTTTAAAAAAAAATCTTATTAAAAAAAAAAAGGCACTTATGCCGCTGAACTATCTCCCCAGCTCTGAAGACTGTTTTTTGGGTTTTTTTTGGTACCTGAGATTGCACTCAGGACCTTGCACTTACCAGGCAGGTGCTTAGACCACTGAGCTATCTGCCTAGTCCCTCAAAATTTTAAAAATCAGGGCTGGTGAGATGGCTCAGTGGTCTAAAGCACCTACTTAGAACAAGCTAAGCTAAGCAAAGCCCAGGGACCACGGTTCAATCCCCCAGCACCACATGCCAGCCAGCCCCGCCCCCTGGTGGGCTGAGCTGGCCACACACACACACACAAAATAAATAAATAAATAAATATTAAAAAATAAATAAATAAAATTAAAAAAAAAAATTTTTAAAAATCAGACAGACAAGGAATACTCATTTAATAAAGCAAATTAATTTTTGGAAAATCATCTTCACATATATTTTTCTTATCCTGCTTTTTTTGGGGGGAGGAGGTACCAGGAATTCATGCTGTGCTACTGAGCTATATCCCTGGCCCTTATTTCCTCTTTTTTTTGTGGCTGGCTCAGCCCACCCTGGGGAAGGACTGGTGCACCATGTGGTGCCAGGAATCGAAGGTCTGTCCCTACACTTTTCCTAAGCTTGCCTAAGCAGGCACTTTAGACTGTTGGGCTATCTCATGGGCCCCGTTATTTTCCTTTTTTTTTTTTTTTTTTTTTTGCGGAACTGGGGATTGAACTCAGGTCCCTGAGCTTGCCAGGCAAGCGCTTATTTCACTGAGCCATCTCCCCCTCTCCCCGGCCCCTTTCCTTATCTTAAGGAAATAAAATTTTGTGCTTTGTGCAAACTTAGTCAACTATACACATTCTAACAAAAACTTGGAAGCTGCGGATGGCCGCACACTTGTGTAATCCCATCGTCCCAGGAGGCTGAAGCAGGAGGTTGCTAGTTTGAGGCCAGCCTAGAGAGACTGTGCTGAAAAACAAGAAAGACGAGGGGCTGGGGAGATGGCTCAGTAGAATAAGTGTCTGCCTGGCAAGTGCAAGGGCCTGAGTTCAATCCCCAGTTCTGAAAAAAAAAAAAAAAACAAGGAAGACGAGGGCCTAGATGCAGCTTAACTTAGGTGAGTGCTTGCACAGCCCACACAAGGCCACAGGCCCAATCCCTGACCTGCAAACACAGAAACTTGGCGTCGTTAGCTCTGTGGTCTCGTTTAACTTCACAGTGCTTCCACGTACTTGAATGTGTTTTCCTCCACTGCTGGGTGTTGCACTCCCAGCCTTGCACACGCTAAGCCGTGCTCTGCTGAGCCCCACCCTCGGCCCACCTCAGCGTGGCTTGAGCATTGCTGGGTACTCTGGGCAGTCTGCGAGATGACTGCTTTTCTGTGTGTGTCGTTTTTGGTTTTTTGGCAGAATCGGGGATTGAACTCAGGCCCTTGCGCTTTCCAGGCAAGCACTTATTCTACTGAGCCATCCCCCTGGCCCCTGATTTTCTGTTTTTAAGAGACTAAAAAGCTGTAGCCAAGTGTGGTTGCACCCACCTGTAATACCTCTGGGCAGTCAAGCCCAGCCTGGGCAATTTAGCAACTGCCTCCAAGTTGGAAGAAAAGAAGAGCTTGGGATGTGGCTCAGTGTGAGGACCCTGGGTTCAATCTCTGGTCCTAAAACTGACAGGGCATTCGTAGCCGCCTGTCACATGCTGGTGGGGAAAGGCTAGACTCTCACTGCCCTTTGGGCTGCCGGGTAGTGAACATTCTCCCCACAGCTCTGCCTGCCTAGTTCCCCATCTCTGGAATCATGTTTGTTTGTTTGTTTGTTTCTCCCTACTGTGGCTGAGGCCCAGGGGTGCTTTAATACTGAGCCACCTCCCCAGCCCTTTGTAACTTTTTCATTTTTGCGAGTCTCACTAAATTACCCAGGTATGACTAAAACTTGCAACTCTCCTGTTTCAGCTTCCCTGAGCGCAGGGATTATTACAGTGTATAGCATTGTGCCTGGCTGGAAACGTGATTTGATGTCCTTCATCTGTGTGTGTCAAAACATTCTTTTGCTATGTTTAAGTCTCTTCTACAAAGCACCTTCCAAACCTTGGGCCTCACTGCTGGCAGAGTGAGCCCTGACTAGTTCAGAAGGTGTAGCAGACTGTCTTCAGAGTGGGCACAGAAGCCAACCAATGCCATCCTTGAGCAGCTGGGTGAGGGGTGGATGTGGGGGTGGACATGCATGCGGTCCCAGGTCATCTTCCCAGATTGAGTGCCCTGAGAATGTGTGTGTGGAGTGGATCACCCCTAGCTGGCGACGCTGCTTGGTTACCTTCGTTGTCTCTTCACCAGAGGTCTGATTCCTCGCCTGCTGGGGGACATCATTTCCTTGTGGCTGTGCAACTCGCTGGCCTACCTCGTCAATACCTATGCCCTGGACAGTGGGGTAGGTATGGCGCACGATGGGCTGGCATGGGCTGTGGGCCTCCCTTGCTGGGCAGAATGGGAGGGAGCTTGAAATGATGAGTCCTATTTTCAAGGCAAAGGAGACCATGTCTGCACAGAGGCCCCGCAGAGGCCCTGAGGGGTAATGGAGCCACCTGGGGACTGAGCCCCTCCCAGTGCTGGGCCTTAGAGAGATTTTTCTTTTTTTTTTTTTTTTAAGGATGGAAAGGTTTATTTAGCTCACAGTTACTGGAGGTTTCAGTCCATACTCAGCTGGGTCCAGGACAGCCTGGCACATGGCAGATAGAAACCTTTCATGGAGGTGGTAGAGAGCAGAGAGGAGATCATTTCTTTTTTGATACTCAAGTTAGAGCATGCAGTGAAGCAGAGAGCTGCTTTCTGCCATGTCTGCGGTCTATGTTGTCCTTGCTGCTTTTCCATTCCTGGGACAAATGCCTGCCTTCCACAGTTTAAAGAGATCATTTGGACTGCTTTTGGTCCACGTCCTGCTGGTTCATGGCAGGCAGGTGCAGGTGGGCCTGGCGTGGAAAAAGCTGCTCCACCCGGAACCCAGGAAGCAGGGAGTCCTCCTGTCAAGCCCGCCTCCTGCCAGCGTGCCCTTCCACAGCCGCATGCTCTGCTGGGCCTGGCACCCCCCACGAGCCAGTTGCCTTCCACAGCCCCACCTTTGCAGACCAGAGCTGAGGACGTTCTAGGTCTAAACTCTAAAATCCATGTGACCTAGTGTGCTGAGGGGACGCTTGCGTTTCCAGCAAGGCTGGGAGGTGTAGGGAGCCAGCCTTTCTGGAGGCTGTTCATCCCTGTGCGCTCTGTGGCGGCATCTTCACAGCAGACGGCTCCACCGGCACTGCCTGGGTGCGCATCCAGCCTGGCTGTGTGAAGGGTTGGGAGCTGCTCTCTGATGTGCGGTAAACAGCTTTGCAGGCAGCGCAGAAATGTTTGGTCAGTTTCTGCAGAAATTGTTTGGATGCAGAAATGTTTGGTCAATTTCATTTTTGTTTTTGAAATATTGAGGCTGTCTCATTGGTTCCTAAACCATTCTAGTGCAATACAAATTTGTCAATTGTGAATCAAGTGGATCATTTTGATTGCTGGCTTTTTAATGCTCAATTAGTATTTTATGTTTTGTCCTAAAAATTGGATTTCAAGAGCAGGGCATGGTGGCTCAGCCCTGTGATCCCAGCAGGCAGGTGGCTGAAGCAGCAAGATTGCCGAGTTTGAGGCTATCCTGAGCTATAGCAAGATCTGTCTTTAAAAAAAAAAAAAAAAAAGGGCCGGGAAGATAGCTCAGTAGAATAAGTGTTTGCCTGGCAAGCACAAGGATCTGAGTTCAATCCCCGGTTCCACAA